GAGGGGCACTCGTACGAAGACAAGAACGAGGTGTGCTACTGCAAATGGAACGGAGATTGGGGCGACTGCAAGAGTTTGAAGCAGAGAGAGAGATGCTGGTGGAGAGGAAAGGGGTATGCCGTAGGCGAGTGGTATGAAGATCACAACCAGGTATGCTATTGCAACAACAGCGGCAAATGGAAGGACTGCAAAATCCTGAAGCAAGAAAAGTGTTGGTGGGGCGACAAGGGTTACGAGCCAGGCATGTGGTACGAAGGCCACAAAGAACTTTGCTATTGCAATTACTATGGCGATTGGACTGACTGCGAAGGCGTGAGATCGGAAAAATGCTGGTGGAACGACAAGGGATATGAACCAGGCGCATGGTACGAAGGCCGGGATCACGTGTGTTACTGTAATCATAACGGCGAATGGGAGGACTGTGAAGGCGTGCGATCGGAAAAATGYTGGTGGAACAACAAGGGCTTCAATAGCGGCAAGTGGCACGAGATGCACAACGAGAAATGCTATTGCGACGACGATGGCGACTGGGTGGACTGCAAAGACGTCGACCGGGACAAATGCTGGTGGAACAACAAGGGATTCGACTCCGGTAGTTGGCACGAGGTTCACAACGAGAAATGCTACTGCACTCGGGACGGCGAGTGGGTGGATTGCAGAGATTTGCACCACGGTGGCGACAACTGCAAAACGATTTGTAAGTACTTTTGCCGGTAATCTCCAGCGCAAGCCGAAATGGCTTTTGTTTTTTGTGTTTCGGCGACAGTATCGCTCACGGTTCCCTTGCCTTTTTTGGTCGATTCTCTTCCGCCCAACCGTTCCCGCGAACACGAAACCACTACAGCCGAAATCGCGTGCGGGAGGGACAACCTCTCGGTCCTGTGCGACGCCCTCCACCGGGCGGACCTGTACGACACCCTCGACGATCTCCGCACCGAATTCACCCTCTTTGCCCCGAACGACAAGGCCTTTGGGGCWTTTCTGGACTGGCGCCGGCTTGGGGACCTCCGGCAGGCCGAGGTTGTGGACCTCCTCCTGACGCACGTGGCCGGCCGCGTCCTCTCCGAGAACGACCTGTCGCAGCGCTGCTCGGACCTGCTGGATATGGAGAGCGACAGGCAAACCCGGACAATCTGCAAGAACGCGAAGCGGGACGTCTTCCAGAAGGGCGAGGGGAACTCCAAGGACGACATGCCCCTGATCGTCGATTCGGACCTCCGGGCCTGCAACGGAATCGTCCACATTATGGACACTGTCATCCTGCCGAAGTGATTCCCGCAGCAACCAAACCGTGGAGCGACTACGATTACTCGTTAAATGTAGATATGTATAAGTGTAGTATGTGTTCGAAAGCAAAACGCGTTTAACAKACCTCGTACTAGGGACTATCGTTGTTGCTGTAGCGAGGTGGTGGGACGGATCGAAAGGCTGGAATCCCCACGGTCTCTAGCCCGGATCTTCCTGCCGTTCGATGCGTCGCCCACACCGTGCTCGATCGATCCGCAACGAGGCCGAACGAAGACTGCGCAGCACACCGTCCGGCGGAACGTGCAAGCCCCACGAGCGGGGAAAGGCGGCGGAATTCCAGAAGAACAAACAACCTCTCCTTTCGCACGCCTTCTGCGTGGTATGCCCGGTCCCCGCCCTTTCGCACACTGCCGGATTCTCGTTTCCGAGCGGTTCCCGGTGGGGGAGTGCACGTGGTGGTTGTGTTGTGTTGTGTTCTGTTGCGTTGCGTTGTAGTGCTTTCATTCGTCGTCGTCGTCGTCGTGGTTCTGCGCGATGTTGCAATCGCTGCTGCTATTCCTGCTGCTGCTGCGCCATTCGCTCGAGGTATTCCTGCATCCGGTGGTGGGTCAGGCACTCGATGCGGGACTTGCCGGYGACCCGCTCGGCGACGAGCCGGTACCGCTCCTTCTTGGGGACGCCGGAGAACTCCCGGAGGGCGGCCGAGAACTGCTTCTCCTGCTTGGCCGTCCACACCTCCCTGCGCTCGTGATCGAGCCACAGCGGCCGGTGGGCGGCCCCATGGGTCTCCTTCGGCGCCCCTGCCCGCTTCGAGGCGGCGTCCGCGGCCCTCCTCCGCCGCAGGGCCGYGGAAGCGGCGTCCTTCCGGCCGCCGCTCGGGCTTCCGCCCGAAACCCCCAGGGCCTCCGCCAGCGGTTCCCTGTGCCAGACCGCCAGCACAACCAGGACCGCCGCCAGCGTCCCAAAGACCTTCCGGGCCAGGGCGTCCCTCTTCTCCCGGGCCCTCCGCCGCTCCCGGTCCTCCCTGGCGTGCGCGTTGATGGCCTTTACGGCTTCGGAATGGTCGCAGCCGGTGCAGTCCAGCCCGTAGGCGTCCAGGAGGCGGCGGACCGACGGGGAGACGGGCCTGCGGGCGTCGAAGGAGCTCCCGAGGTGCTCGTCGGAGGCCCACTGGTCCCGGATCCCCCACTTTTCGCGGTCCCCACGGCCGGCGGCGATGGTCTCCCGGACCAGGAGGTCCTCGTCGAGGCCTTCGCCGGGGTTTTCTGCGTCTGCGTTGCCGCCTGTGTTGCCGCCTGTGTTGCCGCCTGTGTTGCCGCCTGTGTTGCCGCCTGTGTTGCCGCCTGTGTTGCCGCCTCCCGCTGCTGCTGCCGCATGCGTTGGGAGCGGCTCCGGGTTTCCGGCCGCCGAAAGGGAGGAAGGATCCCCCGCAGCGGCAACGGCACAGAGCCCGATCGCCACGAAGAGAACGAGGAGGCCTGCTCGCCTCCCCGGCCCGGCCCCACCGACAAAGGAGCTCCGTCCACGGGAACGACGTGGAGGCGGCGATCCTTCCGCAGGGGTTGCTCTTTCGGCCATTGGTTCTCTTGATCGATGGCGGGGAAAARCAAGCTGTCCGCTGTATTGTTTCATCGATTGCATTCCGGTGTGTGGCATGGTGTGTTGCAACGGTCGATGGTATGTATTGTTGGCTCTTTGTTCCGGTTGTTCTGATTTTTCTGGTTTCTGTTTCCATTCCGTCGCCATTTTTTGATTTTTGATTCCTTTCCCACAAAATTTTGGGAGGAGCAATCGCCCAAAGGGGGGGGGGGGTCTGGTGCAACATACAGGCAACCACGTGTCATTCGTAACGAATACGTACGGTAAGTACATACTATGGCTCCCGCTAGCTTTTCGTCAATCTAGTCAATTGGATCGAATCCGTATGAAAGAAGAAGGAGGAAGGGATGGAAATTCCGCAATGAAATCTTTTCCACTTTTTTTTTCACGTCGCACGAATCTGTAGGCTTCGTGGAGTTCGGATTGGTGCAAGCCCAGATCAAAAGACCACAGCGTACCGTATGGTAGAGTACCAAGTGCTCGTACAGTATCCGAGGCAGCAAACTAGAAACCAACAACGACTGCGAGAGTCCACGCTGTACAGCAACATGGTCCGAGTTTGGAACAGCGGCAAGAAGAGCAAAACCTCCCAGACACTAACAACAACAAGCGCAAACCCCT